TTTGCATACAAGTAACATACATGTTGGCGGACAAGTTCCATAAGAAATGTCATTTTCACTTATATAGTTGAAAGAAATGCGGGGTCCCACATGCAAAGACATGGCTCGAAACTATCACATGTGGCGGTATGCTGAGACCGCATCTTCTGGACTCAGTGCGGGGATACTTCAAACTCTTGTGGCACGAGTACATATGCTCTTTTATCATCCTTGATTGTTAACAGCCTAGTTAGTACTTTCGATTTAGAACGATTACTGCAAGAAATGCTTGCAAGGAAAAAAATCTAGTATATGGGATGACGGAAACCAATGCAATACGAATTGATTTGGAGCTGAGTGCAGTGCATTTACAAGTGTTATACCACCCTTCCATTAAAAAAAGCGAATTTCGCTATGAAACATGCGAAAATGCTGTAAATATGGGGCCCCGCGGGCGTCCCACCCTCCAGAAACGGAATGACTCTTTTGCTTACAGAAGCAAGTGTCGGCTTCGGTGGTGTGGATCCCCGGAACTCCATCAAGACGCCTTGCAGAGGACGCTGTCCTTACTGCCCGGTCCACAAACTGCGCGAAGGACATAGCCGCAAATGGCTGCTCCACCTCGCATACACTCATGATGGCTGAAAAGCAACATGGCACTTCAGTCTTTCATTAGCGGTCACGCTCCCCGGTGGAAAAAGTAATGCAGCGGAGAGGACCGTCACGCGGAGGTGGGCTCCAGCTGACACATAGCTCCTCTTGCTTGGTTTCCTTAATCTTAATTATTGCATAGATCAGGTCAAACTGAGCAGCACTGGCTCTATGCCACACCGAGAGGCCAAACAGGTCAAGCTCTCCGGAGGGAGGGGTGTCCCAGCCTTGGTGCGAACCTGGCATGCACATGCGTGCATCTGTGTGCGCCAAAGCACAGCCAACTTCCGTCAGCCATCAGTCCTGGATGCACGTGCTCCACGGGCCCTGGTCACTGGCATTCAGACGGGCTGCACCTTACTGAACATTGGAAACTACATGGGGTTGCAAACCGAAGAGAACTTGAACACGGAAGAAAGGATACTATCAGATTTGAACAGGAGTCAAAGCACAATTGACAGACGTGACACTGCAACGACAGCAAACTAGCAGCCGTGGCTCATAAGCGATAGCTGGTTGCACAAAGAAGGCCAGTCAGCAGCACTTCCTGAGCTGAGCAGCATGTGACGAGCAGCGTCCAGCTCGATGCTTGCTGACTGCTGGGCCGCGACATGCACCCATAAGGATGGAAGTACAGTGCGATCCCATCAAGTGGCTGTCTGCTTTGGACCACTTCTTTTCACGATCTCGCTGTCACCGGACGTCTCTGGCTCGCCGGTCCTAGGAGTCAAGGATGCAGGCACTACACTGACACGTTCGATGCAGTTCCAGGCTCGCTGCGTGCAGCATACAGCCTTCACCACATAGCCGGTCAGATTTCCTGCCTCATCAACCCTACAGCAACATCAAACCTTGAACATGACATGCTTCCTGTCAGTCCCTGCCGTGACTAAGCCCGCCTTTTCAACAGGCAATCTCAGCAGCACAGTCTCCCTGCCAACCTCAGCACAAGAACGCAGCCCTTCTCGGACGCAGCCCTTCTTGAATCTCCTACGCCACGGGGCCGCAAGGACCTGCGGAGGAGGCGGCCGTGCCGCCGTCCTCGCAGCAAACCCTGGGCTCCAGGGGCCACAGCCGGCACCTCGTTTGGCAACGGCTTTCGACGGAAGCCTTCATTGGGAGCCGCAATCGAAATCCTTCGACGGAAGCCTTCACTGGGAGCCGCAATCGAAATCCTACAATCGATCAGAACGCCAAACCGAGTCGAGTGTCGGTTCGCCGCACGAACTTGAACCGTGTAGTCGCAATCCTGATGCATGTGAACAAATTACAAACTTTTCCCCCGATGTGCGACTGCACAGCTGCAAGACTGCTACAAGAATGTGTTGCAAGCAGAACAGCCAAGCTTCTGGGGTCAGCGATGTGGCTGTAATCACGGGCTCCTTGCAAGGCCACCGTGTTTCCCAAGGTCTTTGTGATAGGCGGTAAGCAGCCAAGAAGTCCCAACATGCAGCTGAGGCACCTGAGCATGTCCAGTCCTTAATTTGTGCCGGAAAGACTCTAGAGGGAGTGGGAATGCACGCCGTGCCTGACCCAAAACTCGCCTCAGCTCAGAATGCCTGCAGCAAATGCGAGCCCAAGTTGCCATGCCAGCTTGGATGACTCCGCATACCGGAGAGCTATATCGTATCTGTCAACTGCAGCACCGCCATTTTGAGCACATTCCTGGGCATATCTTGGAAACGATACCTGCTAGGCACTACTGAATAAATCCTCCTACTAAATTGGGCTTGAGCTTCGGCCCACTTAAAGGAAATTGACGTGTCCCTGCCCTCAGCAACCACTTCACTTGGAGGTGCAGGAGGTACTGTCATCACCTGACACAGGGCCACGACAAGGGTCGAGCCCATTCCATCTCGATTTCCTCTCGATCCGCATGACTTCCAACGGGAGGCCCTGCCTGAATCAGCAAGGGTGCACTAACTGCAGACGTTGGGGTGCGCCCATCGTCCGAAGCGAAGATCCGCAGGTGCCAGAACGCCTCATCCACAAGAGTCTAGATTCTGGATAATACGACCCAGGCAGGCTGTCGCAGAAGCAACGCAAAGCGGAGGAAGCAACATTCAAGAAAAATGTCAAAGGCTTTTCCTCCGGGGCGCGGAGGTACCCCGCAGAGCACCCGGAGCCCTCAGGCGAACGGCTCCCCGCACCAGCGAGACGTCCAGAGCACTGCGGCTCCAGGCTTCCTTTCGGAAATAGCGAAGGAAAGGAGTGAAAAATGGGTCTTCTCTGTGGCGCACCTCGAAGCCCGCGAGCTCCGGCTGAGCTGGCACGGCAGCGACGAAGGGCGCCTTGCCCAAGGGCAGGTCTGGGCCGAGAACCTGAGGGCGACTCTCGATGCTTGCTGGCACGGCACGGGCTTCGGTTCAAGCCGCCATGGGCGACGGCCCACAAACTCCATAGTGCCCGAAGTCGCCTAAGCAACATGAAATTCTCAACAACCTGTAGGCATTTCACCGGCGAGGTTGAGTTCAGCACTCAGCGTGTATCGAACCACGATGAGCTCCCCAGGCAAGAAGAGGTTCCTGAGCACAGGGAAAAGCATCAGCTACCTCGTCGTGTACTCAGCGATACCAGGCTGAGGCGCTTGGTGACCTGAAGTCTGTCGGAGAGGTTTGGGAACAGCCTGCTTGAAGTCAGCAGCCGGTTTCTGACGCGCGGGTTCGTAGGCATGGCACGTGGCATGGCACATCTTGTCACTGCAATCATGTCCGTGCCCACCTGTCGGCCGTCAGCCCCAATGCCCCGAGGCGATGGGCCTCCTCCTGCGCCTCCGTTTCACCTGTAGAGAGCAGAACCTGAAACTCCGCTCCGAGTGCTCCAAAACGGCCGAGACGCTGAGCAGCGGCCACTCAGGCTTGCCACGCAGAGCGTAAAGCCACTGCCTGAAGATCGCACCCTCTGCACACGGACACGCCCTCACCTAGCCAAGCCCAAGCCCAAGCCCAAGGCTGGTGGCTGACCCGAGGACCGGCGGTCTGCCTTATGCACATTGTCCACTAGCAGCCTAAATCTGGCATTGTGGAACCGTTCATTCGCAAGAAGCATTTACATGGCCAGAACACGTCAGTTTGTCCTGCTGACGGTCACGGATGACATCACGGAGCTCCTGCACGAGCAGAAGACTTCATCCCAGACATGTCATGCGCAAACCCCGTCTCTATACTATATAAACCGAAACCTCCACAAACCTTGCGAGCAAGCGGAAAGGTACCGTCAGCCTGGCTACTTGCACATAGCAGATCGAAGCACCCGATACTCACCACAGCCCAAACCCGTACCTGCTCAATTCCACCTACACCCATTCCATCCCCCCTGCTTGCCCATCAGACTGTGTGCAAAGCTATTCCTCGGCGTGCCCGTACCATGCGTGTTGAATCAAGGTTTCTGTTGGCTTTGAGCTTCCGGTGTCGTCTGTCTCTCCCTTGGCTGATGCTGCGCATCAGCTTTCCCGAGACGCTGCCAGCTGTTCCAAAGCGGCAACTCCACTACTTGTAGCAAGAGGGTCCTTACTAATCGGAAGCTGAGGTTGAGCTGCACTGCCGAAGAGTCCTGTCTCTCCCAGCCGAAGGCTTCGGTCAAATCTGTCCAGACTGAAAGCAGTCTCGGTAAAAGCTCCTGGGCTGAACTTCGCACGCAGAGGTTTGCGCTAACCCAGCTTTCGAAGACATGTCCAGCTGAAGTGCAGTGGGCTCCCATGGTGCAGCAGAGTCTGCCGCACCCGGCAGCTTAGGGCAACCTACCGCTGTCTGCCGCAGGAGCGCATACCTTGGCAAGGTATGCATCGTGGAGCTAATTGGAAAGCAAACAAAAATCGCTCAGGCTGCAACGATATGCAGGTAGAACCATCAGTGAGGTCCTTCAAATGCTGGAACCACTCCTGCCAATGGGGGTTTGTGATGTGTAGCTTGCTGAAGGGAAGCGGTGCTCTTTGAAGTCCAGCGATCCCCTGCGCAAGAAACAGTGCATTTGCCACCGTCGGCGCTCCTTGGCATCGTCGATGTGGCCAGCCTCGAGCACAACCATCTCGCAGAAGGACTCGAGATCGAGGTATCCAGAAGCCGGCCCCGCATGTCCTTGCAGGAGTGTCACGATGGGACAGTTTGAGGCTATTTAGGACAAATTTGGGGTGCCTGTATGGGTGATCAATGGGCCTCTGCATGGTCTACAGCGTCTACAGAGTCTACACAGGTCTGCAGGAGTACGGTCAAGATGCAATGGGGTGGTAGCTTCACTGACAAGGGCTGTGCTTGTGCGCCGCGTGACGAAGTTCTTCCCAGTCGTTTGCAGTGCACCGACGAGCCGCCCAAGCACGGAAGCCTTCCCTGGGCGCACTTTGCCTTGGATGGAGAAAGACAGCGAGTCCGCCTGTCACTAACGTGTCGTCTGTAATTGTCTCCAGCCTGCTTGCATCCCATGCCAGTCCTTCTGACTAAATGCGAAAGGGCGAATAGAAGCTCCCGTCGAAGAATCATCGGAAGCAAACTGTCCGGATCCTGCGGAAGCATCCGGTAGTTTGGAAGCCACAGCCCCGACATGCCCCGACGTCCCTGGCAGTACTGGCCTGCTTCTGCAGCTGTGCACAAAGTCTTTGGACACCGGCCTCGAACAACTCAAATAGCCGCAAATGGCCAAGTGTCAGAATGGCCCAGGTTGTCCCGGCACAGCCCTGCAGCGCAAAACACGGTGTCCGGGCCCTCGGCCTCAACTCTGAGACGCCATCGGCCAGCAGCCGATATTGCCCTCGTTTTGCGATGACGACAAATACAATCACAACATGCTGTCTTGAAGAGGTGTTGCGGCTAGCTTCGAAATTATCCTGAAAGAACAACACACGGAAAAAGCTCGAGAGTCCAAAGCAAAGCAAGGAATACACGCATCCCACGCCGTGTCCTCTGCTTCTCGAGACTAACTTGTTCAGGCGATGATGCTGCCTGCCCATGGCCCATGTCAGCACCCACTATGTTCTTCCATATGCCATGGCACACGGCACACTGAAGCTGGACGAAGCTTCGGGGCGTGTGGGCAAGCGCCCTGCCTCAACTTCCGCCTCAAACAATTCCCGCAGCTCGGCTTCAGTCAGCCTCGGCTGTGGTCAAGCATAGATATATCCAAAAGATGCCAGGAGCATCGGAAAAGAAAGCGATCATCCGAGCGACCGCCAGCGATCTCGCAGCCCAGCTGACTGCAGTGCCTTGCATCGAACTTCAAGGAGCCCATGATGCCATGCTTCCCGTGCAGTCATGCTTCACCAGTCGTGGGCAATCTGTTTCGCCTGGTCCGGCGTCAACCACGATGACAACAGGCGTGCGCGAAGCTCGGCATTGGACAAAGGCAAAGCACTAGCTGCCGCCATGAGCCTGGAAGCAGGCCTCTGCAGGGGCTATCCGCACGAATAAATGATTTCAACGATTCCGTGATGTTTACATCACGCATTCAACCCCGCATGCTTTGTGCAAAAAACGGAATGCTTCAGCGAGGAGCGCATGCTTCTGTTTCTTTCGCCACCGTTCGTGGTTTGAGCCGCAATGGCTCCAACAGCGAGAAGTTGCGCCAAAACTATCACATGGCGGTATATCCGAACACAAGTGGTATCAAGTGCATCTGTGTCTTGCCTGGCCTTCATGGCTGCTTGTCGATTGATTGTGGCCTCCATCGTGTTCAAACGTGAGAAGGCCGTCGTGGACATTGTGGCATGAGGCAAAGGCCATCAGCTTGGGGTTGGCCATGCCCACCTGCAACACCAGTCTGCGAGGAAACCGACGGTCGCGACAATGGTCGCACAGGCAAATTTTCCTGTTGTTAGAAAAGGGTTGCAGACTTCACGCGTCTCTGCATGGACACCTTCCAATGTGCCCACATCCAATGGCCAAGCTCCTGCTGCGAGGTATGTTGCTGCTTGTGCAAATTCTGACGGACGCACCTCACATGTCTCCTTGGCTCGCAAGTAATATTAGCCATTCATACTAAGACCAATGTTTTCTCGTCACCTTGCGATTCACCCGGAACAGACGCTGCATTTGATCGTCCTGGAACCTCATGTCCGGCAGGCGGCATTCCAAGGCTTCATGCAATGCCTGTGCCAGGAGAAAACACGCCCCACATTGAAGTTCCGTTGCCCCCCAATGCCTCCGCCAAGTTCTCAGGATCTAAGCACGTTTCCGCACTTGCACACCTCGACACAAGTAGTTCTGGCTTGAGTCAAAACGGTTTGAAACTTCGTTCCAACATTTACTGCAACTGAGACTGTTCTTCAGGCCACAACATGATGTTCACGAAATCAATGGGTTCCACGTTCTGCCTCTTCGCCAACACCTGCGACATCGACGCAATTCGACGAATAATAAAAACAACACAGAATGCAATGCACTGGGATCCGTTTATCTTTCATGGGACAAGCCCACAGTGCACTGGTTTCCTCGACCCGACGTCTACACATGCCGATCTCGGCTACCCGCAAATCCCACGAACCGGAAAACTCCGTACGACAGCAAGTCCAGAAACACGGGCACCTGACCTGGCCCGTAGCTTCATTATATAACATGAGCACTCGCAATGAGTTCAACTCCGGCTGATCATGCAATGGCTTTCAGGCCCTGGGCATGAAGCATCCGCAATTGCCAGGATGGTCCGGGGAGCCGCAAACTGCCACTTCGGAACAAGACCGTGCACCGATGCTTGCTCTTAAAGTTGTCAAAGTCGTAGCAAAAGTCCAAACATAATGATCCAGGTCCTTGGAGGCAGTGCCATCTGCAAGGTTGCCAGTCAGTCAGTAGGCCTCGTGTACAAACACATGGGCAGACATACCGTCTTACAGGCGCTTAGCGCGCGCGAAGACAATATGTTTGGACGCAGCGACGCCATACGATTGAAGGCTGCTGCCAAATGTCAATCAAATTTTGTGTAGAACCGCGACTGCCATCAATTGATTTGTCCGGTTCACCTCTGACACTACAGCATCCCATTTTTGAAAGTGGCTCAGGACGATGCTGTGGCGTTCTTCTCTGGCAACACTAGACGGGGGTGGAACATGCAAAGCTGAGTGGATTTCAGCTCCTGCAATGCTCACCCAACAGGATCGAGTCGACTTGGACTTGTCAGGCATCCACTGCACAGAAGTCGCAAGCGATGCAACGCAAAAGATCGAGACCGCATCATATGCCAAACTCGCATGTCCTGCGACTTCATAAGGGAACCCTGGCAAGGCCTGCTGGGTGTCCAAACCAGGAGGTCGTCGACAACCCAATGCAAAGCCCACATCGGCTTTGAGGGATTGCATGTACAATCCAAAATCCTACCAACGATGAAATGCATGAGCATCATCCGCCGGATCCCAGGAGGTGTTTGGCCTTGGTCTGATCACCTGGTTGCTGCTGCGTCGGAGGCAGTGGCCCAGACCAGGCTGCCGCCACAGCAACTTTTCCATCTCTCGGCATGTTGAAGTGTTTCATGGTGGCTCGTTTCTTCCCGAGCACTTGTTGACTCCATTCGTTTGCGCTCTCTGAAGCCACAGTGCGGACTGCGGCAACAATCGGAAAATGGAATCCAGGCGCGCATATATGCTGTTGCTTCAACTGTGCAAAGCAGGCTGATGCATGTTGCCACATACCCTGCAAGAAAGCCAGGTCCCAGAGGCGGTGCTCCATATCTTCTGTGATGGCTGCACACTCTTTCAAGCTTGTTTGCAAAGGTGTGAGTGCCGATGCAACCACATCATAGTCAGCGGCAGCGGCAACAAGCTTGAATCCAAGCTGCGTTTTGGAGACAACATATGTGCGGCTCAAACTGGAACTTTTTTTATAGACCTCGTGATGAGGATCCATGGAACGGCCGCATGAGGCCGCGAAGGCCCACGGCAATGTTCAACTTATTGCCATCTCCCGTCCTGGCCGAACCCGTTGAAAATGCAAGCATGTTGAATTTTGAGTACCTTGCCGTGGCGTACAGCCCTCCTTTCCTTGAGCTTGTCTTGATCTACCGGTGGTTTGCGTGGAAGATCACACCCGGTCTGCCCACGGAGAGAACCATAAGGCGGAATAGCCGTTTTAAGCATGGCGGCAAGGACTTCCTTCTTCTCCATCTTGCCATCCGACTTGATTCTGCCCGATGTCGTGATACGCCAGTTGATTGAAGGTCCCAGGTGCGTGCACAAAGCTGGAACGGAGTCACAGCTTTGTAACCGGTAGCATTGATCAGTCCGTGATGGCGTCGCCGCCTCATCGTCTTTGGGCTCGAAGTCGGCGGGCACTGGGCTGAGGAAGCCGCCGCCTTCATCCACCTCCTTGCCCGTGCGCGTGCCGCCAGCGCCCCAGCAGCTGTCCGCAGTTCGGCCCAGGCAGCACGGGTGCTGCGCTGGAGTGGCCTCATTTCCGTCGCGGCGCAGCGTGCGCTCACTGCCACCTTCCTCGAACTGCCCCTCCAGTCGGAGCTCGGTGCTGCTGGCCCCCTCCCAGCCTTGCAAGAGCTCCTGGCCGACGCACTGGCATGAGCCCCCAACCCAGCCGCCTACTTGCCCGGGTTTAGAGCCGCCGTAGCCTGCAGGTGGCACCGGGACCTGGACCCTCCTTGACTTGCAAGCGCAATCAAAGTGCGGGAAAAATTAGCAGATCACCACGAAAGAACATCAACGTAAATGCCTGCCTTCGACGGCTCTTGGTCCAAGATATATAACTTGTTGACCAGTGTGGCCCTGCTGCCAGGCAACGCTTAAATTTCTAATCTCGCTTGAAGAGCTGGCCGGCGTCGAGGCAACTCTATTCGATTAGCGTCTGCCGCGCTTGGGCGTCCTCCAGAACGATTTCGATCATGCTGTGACACCGTCGATTACGGTGACGGGCAATGGAATCATATGCGAGTGCGAGCGCAGAACATCACGTTTGCGCCCTCCTCGAGCCAATAGCTCTTGCATGCGGGATCATCGGCCCACTTTCATTCTCTCCACATCGACTCCGACCCACGTCCTGCGCAGCAACCAGCTGGGCTCCGGCTGGCCCACTCCTCGGCTCGGTCCTCAGTGAAGCCGGCGGCGTGAACGACAAGGCGAGGTCAAACCCTGCCGCAGACAAACTTAACATGACGATGGAAGCACCGTGTTTGGAGGCCTGAACTCCTCAACCCTCCCGTAGGAGGAAGTGCACTCGGGCACACACTGGTTCATCTGCCGCGGGCGATCAAGACAGCCGCATGGCATACATCAACAACGGCAGCGCAACAGAAGCGACAAGCAGTTCAACACAGAACACTGGCATCCAGGCAGAGCTGCACACTCAACCACGGGGGCAGTTGTCGCCATCACCTGTGCCGCTGCCTTGGGCTCGGACCAGAGGAGCAGTAAAACCAAAATTGGCGGCGCCACGGCGTCCCGAAAACAGGCCTGTGCCGCGGAAGGCGCCGCCCGGGGCCCAAACTGGAAATAGGAGGCACCTGAATAGAGTTTTTAAAATCATGACGGGAGGCCATCATAGCCTGGAGCTTGACGCCGCCTTCCAGGAAGGGGTTCAACAAACCCAACATGGCCATCTCGAGGCCCGCGTCCGCCATCACCGCGAACGTGTGGAGCACCGCGTCCTCAAAGTCCACCACTTCATATTCAAGGCAGTAGGTCAAGTAGGTCTAACCAAGTGGGCCCCCGTCATCCCCTCCTAGCGCTCCGCGCTCCTTCACGTCAGCCGGGCTATGCTGACAGCGTGATCTTTTGCTTCAACATGATTCAGGGCGGACGCTTTCGTGCAGCAGCAACTGCGGGAC